ATTACCGCCCCCTCAGGGCCCCCAGCGCCCGGCGGGGCGCGCGCGCCTCCTCGCTGAGGCGGTAAAAGGGGTAACATTTGACAAAGCTGGTGCGATAACGTTCGTGCTGAGGCGTTTTAAGTGTAAATGAGTCTAGTCACTAAGCAGACGTCAAATTATTATTATTTTATATTTTCTTTTGATAGAAGGTTTAATCTTTTCTCAAAGGGGGCTGCAGCTAACCGCCTACTGAAGTGTGGGGTTGCAGAATTAAACAACTGAGATTTAGCTTTTTCGGATGCCACTTTGCACCTTCATTGCATCTGTGCTTACAGGAAATGTCGCTAAAATAAACTGGGAGGCGCGTACGCCTATTTCCAGTAAGTCGGTGCCAGGGCTGGGCACCCGTGGCCAGGCCAGGAATCGTACGGGGTTGAACAAGGGGATTGCGGGCTCTTGCCCAACAACCTGTGGTTCTTCATCTAATTCCTCATACCCTTCCCTCTTTTTGCCCCTTCATTTTAAGGTGAAGCACACCCTTTCACTGTGATAAAAGGAAGTTCCATGATTTGTCACAGCGCCCTTTCCATCACTCGTTTTCCTTTGCTGAAGAGAGAAACGTTTACTGTTGCCACGGAAAGGGAAATAATGTGTGATGTTGTGAATCACTGAGGAGAGCTGTGAGAGGAGGTCACAAAAATAAAGCCCTAGTTCTCAGAAGTGGGCTTCACAAATACGGATCACGCTACATGACTTAATGCACTTACCAGGCAAAAATCTCTGAAGTTTCCAGTTAAGGTAGGCGGTAGCAGAGCAAATGCTTGTATCACTAAATAATAAGTTTATTTTGAAGGCTTTTCAATGCTAGTTAAAGTATCAGGGTATGCTGGTAATTCTAGCATCTGTTAGGTTAAAATAATAATGTTTAGGTGTATTTATTGAAAATCAAATCTGGAGTGGCCCTAAGGATTTCCCTGTGCGTTTCAGTGGAGCTCGTGGAAGAGTAATGACAGTGTTTTAGGATGAGTTACGATAGATGAAGCTCAATAGCTGGAGATTGGTTTTCCCCATGATGGATGGTAAAGTGGATCTTACACTGTCAGTTTTGCAGATTCTGTAGAAGGCGATGCATGTTTTAGTACTGCAAGACAGTATTAATGACTATTGTAATATAAAGTTATTACTTCAGGATGAAATTAGCATTATAAGTGCATAAATGTGTATGTCTGTCTATTGGGATAGAAGGATGTATTAGTTTCCTAAGTTCCTAAATTACTTGCTTGAATTTAGCACTTGCATTTTCTTATTTTCTTTCACTTTCCCAGTAATTAATTTCACTTGTATTTTCTCACTATAGTAATATTGCAAATGGTTTTGGAATAAATAAGCAATAGAGATTGAACACTTCCACTCATCTCAAATTTCACTGAAGTTTGTTATTGCTCTAAGTGGAGTGTTACCATCTTCCTCATGGGTTTCTGAAAAAATATTTGCCCCTTAATAAATAAATAAATACAAAGAAAAGATGGAGGGAAATTACTACATTTGGCTACTTTTAACAAAACACAGAATACGCATAACATTTGAGGAATATATTAATCTTCTTCCAGTGATTGCACTGGTAAATCTGAGTGGTAAATTTGAGGGCTAATGGCATGCAATTAATGGTAATATGCTTATTTTGCTATTTAACATATGCTTTATCTATCTTTATAGTATGTAGGCAGAACTGGAGAACTATGCAGTGGCCAGCTCATATTGTTACTTAATTGAAGAAATACTCTCGAGTCTCTAATTTACTGCAGTTAGTACATGTTAACCAGATGTATGTCTGGTTCTGTATTCATTAGAGTAATATGTAGGTTATATTCAAGTGATTAAACTATTATATTACAAAACAGGAATGAATGTTTGGTAGAAGCAATATCTTACCTTAGGATTTTATCTCATCCTAAGGATGGATAGCAAAATCTTTCCAGCTAAGGGCAGACGATGGTGAGGTTTGTATGTAAAACATTGTAGGGTGTCAATTGGAAACCATCTGTGAATACTTTTGTCTGTACTGACAGAAATGGAGAAAGAGTCATAGGGTACCACCATAAGGCTCATTGGCGTGGCAGCGGAGAATATGAATTGTCTATATTCTGTTGCTTACTTCCTGTCCTATCTTTCCCTTCCTTTTTTGGATGGCCTCTTTTCACTTGAAGCTGAGAAATTAAATACAATATACAGAATAAGCTTTAAGGTGAAAAAAAAAATTTTTAACATTGTTTCCTCTGCTTCCTGAATCACTGAAATGTTAAATCATGAATGCGTTATGGTATGCTAACTCAGAAAGGTAGGTCGTAGTGTGGCAGTTACATCTAAGATGGAATTTCTGACCAACATTATACAGAAATAAAGAGAGTCTGGCTTATATCTTTGCCAGGACAATAACCCAAGTGTTTGGGCCTTCAGTACCAAAGTTGCTGCTCTGTTTGAATTTAAAAAAAAAAAAGGAAAAAAGACCACACCCTCTGTTTCCATGTCTACTATTTAACCCAATAACAACACTGCTGGAGCAGGAGAGAGAGATTATTTTTCCATTCCCATTAAATGGAAATTAAAATAAGGCAAACGAGCCTTGATAAGAACTCGACAACTAAATTGGTATAGCAGTGTAAAACTTGCTTAGAAGAAGTACTTATATTAATTTGATGAAGACAGAAAGTTGGTGAAAAGATTAATTTTCCCCCTACTTAATCTATTGCAAAGAATTAAAACACATATAAATCTATATTATAGATATATGAATAGTAATTAAATAATGGGGAAATTACAGTAATGATTTATGTGGAAAATAGATCCGGAGGAAAGCAAACGCCATTTCATAAACTGTCAGTAGGTGGCGCAAATATTTATATAAAAAATTTGGGCGTTCCTAAGTACTGTTACACAGTAGGATAGGGTTACAGGAAGTTTTATTTTTGTCTTTTCCTCAGTGCAATGTTTGCTTTTTCGGAGAGCAGGGATTTCTGGTGAGAAACTTTTCATTTTATTGATTTTTTTTTTGTGGTTGCTAGTTAGCTAAAGCTGTTTTATGTTCTGCATCTTATTTGAAAATGAGCCATGTTTTCCATAGAGGGTTATTAGTAAGTGTATGATGTACCTTCAAGTGTATGGGTAAGAAATTAGAGTAAAGTTGCTTATGTTCAGTAAATTTATCCAAAGAAGCTCACCGAATAGCAGTGTCTTTCTATTAGCACTACAGCCATAGTTAGGGGGGTCACAGTGATTTAATGGAAATAGTTTTTCTGCAGTTCAGGAATGGGTCTAACTTGATGATATGTTTCAACCATATGAATGTCATATTTTTAACATTAGAGTAATGTATTATGGTGGTAACTTGCGAAGTGCATGCCTTAATACTGAGCCATCATAGCTCAATGCATTCTGTACATTTCTTATATGAAAGTTTAGTCAGTTTATACCGAGTTTGTATTGGAAAAACTCTTAAAACCTCAATTTTGATCACTCTTTAAACAACCAGACAATTTCTCGCTATGATCTTGGTTTGCTTACCCCACTGGATTGCTTCTCGGCTTATATCTTGATAATGCTCTTTTTGTAAAGTTTGAAGACTTGAGGATACTGCTGAATTAAAAGAGATATGACTGTAAAGAATATTTTCTCCAGTGTTAACCCCCAAATCATGGGTCATGTGTTATAACCGTTCTTAATTTTGTTGCTTCATAGGATAATCTAAAGAAAATTTGAAGGTACTCATAAATAATTTGACTGAAGGTCAGGATATAGGAATGAGAAAGAAAATTAAGCACATGTGGAAGAATCATATATATCTTTCACCTAGTCCCTCGGTATTGCTGAAATTTTATCCTAAGAAGAAATAATGATTTGAAAGTAGATTTTTTTTTTTTTTTCAAATTTCTCTTGAAGCGACATACTTTGTTTGAATATATACACGTTAGTAGTGTAGCCCAAACAATTGGAACAATAGGATAGAGGCTGCTGATTATCTTACGTTCTCTGCACATGCCCAAATGCCTTTTGAGGACTATGATGGTAAAACTGCATATAATTTTTCCAAATGAAAAAGAATGAAGTCTGGGAAAAGGCTGGAAAAGTTTTGCCATATTGGCCCACTGTTTCTAGATGATTTCCAAGCCTAGTTTCATGCATTCTTTATAAAAGAAGAACTCAGTGGACTGTGTTTTTTTGTTGTACTGTTGAGATTTCATAATATAGATTTTGTTAGATCAAGGAGAATGTACATTTTAGACCCAGTAATGTAATTCTAAGAAAGCTTGTGGAATGGTTAATGATACAGAGGATGTAGTCCTTGAAGTTGTAGCTTTAGTGCAACAAGTGACAGATATTACTGTCTCATTGTAGAGTCACTAGAAATTATCGTAGAGTCACTAGAAATATAAACTCTCAATTTAGCCATTGCAATATCAAGGAAAAGTCAAAAGCTAGTGCAATCATGAATAAACACTATGGAAAGCTTCAGACAATAACTACAATTTAAAAGTAGTGGGAGGAAGAGGGGAAGAATGTTCTGAGGAAAAAAAATATTTCAGAAATCTGGAAAACAACTTTAAATCAAAGTCTACACATATAAGAATGCTAGCTAAGTTCTTACCCGTTCCTTTTTCAGAAAGGTGGTCTAATGGATTTATGGTAATATCTAAAAGGAGATGTAAGGTGGTATTCACAATGGCTGACTTTAAACAAAGGGAGGCTGGCTGCCCTAAACTTCTCCATTCAGAAAGGAAAAGTGTCCTCCATTAGGGAATATCAAAGCAAAGCCACGGTTATGATTTTTCTCTAAATTGTGTAAGCCTCTCTTCTACAACAGAGACATTTGAGGTCAGTGTCCTTATATCAGGGCTAGATTTTATGTACAGAGGTCCTACAACCGGTGGTTTTTTGTGTAGCATGCAAACATTTTCAGTGTGTGTTTGGTGTCTTCTGGGTACACCTAACAAATCAGACATGGGGACACCCCACTTTCAGTGGCTAAATTCAGGAGTTGCTCAAGCCCAGACAAGAAGCGAATCCTTCTGTGGACTTTCCCATAGCATAAATATAGAACATTCTACACCCTGACGCTGGCTCCCCATTTAAAATAAGCCCTAATGACCAATCTCAGTTGCCTAAAGATATTCAGAGTTTGATTCACTCTCTTGAACCTCTATCCTGTGTTTGACTCCAGGTTTTATAGTTATGAGTCTATTTATAAAAAAGTCTGAGTCTAGGTCATATCCTTCAAGAGAGAATCTGAGGAGAGGATGACCATACTGACCTCAAATATTTTAATTTCTGATCAAAGTGTGTTATAGAGTTGTGGGAAGCCTTCATAATACATTGAATCACAGCAGTAGTTCTGTAAGTATGCAGTAAATTTTTGTCCCCTATGAAATCTGATGTTTTGTAAGAAACAGACTCATTATATACTAAATACAGCATATTTACCAAATAGAAATTTCAGTGGTGGTCTCTTAATAAAGAATGCTTCTTCTGAATGATAATAGGTGCCTTCATTGCTTTTTGACTCAAAAGGAGAGACAAGAAATTGGAATCTTACAAAATCAGTATGATAGGTCCTGCATAGCCACTTAATGATACAATCTGGGTTTTATTTTTGTTTGTTTTGCTACAGGATTAGAGCAAAGATGGACAGATAAGAAAAGTATTAAGCATCTCCAAGGAACCAGAAACCAATATGATAGCAAAACCAAGATCTCTCAGAAACTTTTTTCTTTACAAGTGTCTGTTTGCATTAACCTTTTGGAACCATGTCACCCTGTCTGTGGAAAATGAACTATTTGCATCTCTTTCTAGCAATTTTCCAGAAGGTGGTTCTGACGAAAAAGTCAAGAGCCTGCCACTCCTGTATAGAGATAGTCATCAGTCCAAAGCTAATTTTGACTGGGTTGTGATACAAAATACTACAGAAAGCCTGTCATTGTCAGAAATCACAAATAACAATGTAAAAAAATTAGTAGCTTTATTATCTAGTTTCAGGCAAGGCTCCAGGTTACAAAATCTAACACTGACAAATATGTCAGTGGACTGGAATGCTCTTATTGAAGTTTTTCAGACTGTATGGCACTCATCCATTGAATACTTCAATATTAACAGTGTAAGACAATTGTCGAACATCGACAGATGTATCTTTGACTATTCAGATACCTCTCTGAAAGCACTGACAATGAAGAAATTTATAATCACAGATCTGTACTTCAACCAGGATGACCTATACAAAATATTTGCAGACATGAATATTGCAGCCTTGACAGTAGCTGAATCAGAGATGATACATATGCTGTGTCCTTCATCCGTCAGTCCCTTTAGATACTTAGAGTTTTTAAAGAATGATTTAACAGATCTTCTTTTTCAAAAATGTGATAAATTAATTCACCTAGAGACATTAATCTTGCAGAAGAATAAATTTGAAAGCCTTTCCAAGGCAAGCTTCATGACCAGCCGTATGAAATCGCTGAAATATCTGGACATCAGCAGCAACTTGCTGAGTCACGATGCAGCTGGTGTGCAATGCCAGTGGGCTGAGTCTCTGTCAGAGTTGGATCTGTCCTCCAATCAGTTGACGGATTCCGTGTTTGAGTGCTTGCCAGTCAACATTGAAAAACTCAAGCTACAAAACAATCAGATCAGCAGTGTCCCCAAGGGGACGGCTGAGCTGAAATCCTTGAAAGAGCTGAACCTGGCATCGAACAGGCTGGCCGACCTGCCGGGGTGCAGTGGATTTGCGTCCCTGGAGTTCCTGAACACAGAGGTGAATTTGATCCTCACCCCATCTGCCGACTTCTTCCAGAGCTGCCCAAGGGTCAGGGAGCTACAGGCCGGGCACAATCCATTCAAGTGTTCCTGTGAGCTGCAAGACTTCATCCGTCTGGAGAGGCAGTCTGGGGGGAAGCTGTTTTGCTGCTGACGCTGGTGCTGGTGGCTGTCGTGGCCTTTCTGTGCATCTACCTGGACGTGCTGTGGTACGTGCGTATGACGTGGCAGTGGACACAGACGAAGCGGAGAGCTTGGCACAACCACCCTGAAGAGCAGGAGACGGGTCTGCAGTTTCACGCGTTCATTTCCTACAGCGAGCGTGATTCGTTGTGGGTGAAGAACGAGCTGATCCCAAACCTGGAGAAGGGGGAGGGCTGCGTGCAGCTGTGCCAGCACGAGAGGAACTTTATCCCCGGGAAGAGCATTGTGGAGAACATCATTAACTGCATCGAGAAGAGCTACAAGTCGATCTTTGTGTTGTCTCCCAACTTTGTGCAGAGCGAGTGGTGTCACTATGAGCTGTACTTTGCCCATCACAAATTATTCAGTGAGAACTCCAACAGCTTAATCCTCATTTTACTGGAGCCGATCCCTCCGTACATTATCCCTGCGAGGTATCACAAGCTGAAGGCTCTCATGGCCAAGCGAACCTACCTGGAGTGGCCAAAGGAGCGGAGCAAGCGTGCCCTTTTCTGGGCTAACCTGAGGGCGACTATTAGCATTAACCTGCCATTGGCTGATGGAAAGAGGTGTGGGGAGACCGATTAAGAATCTTTCTAAAGGAGTTTCTTCTGTTTTTTCTTGGTGAAGCAATAAATACTTTATGTTTTCCATTGGTTGTTAATGTATGTAACTTTTTGTTACAGAACCTTGCTTCTACATAATTGTCTGTGCTCCCTCCTAACCGTAGGCAAAATTCAACTTACGGTATTGGAAGTCTCTTGAGATTGATACAGACATAGCAAATCACAAATGAGTTTGGATGTGGATTTTGAAAAACAACTTGAAATACTGTAGTGAATTTTTCTTTGCAGAATAAAATCTGGAGCAGTTGGTATAGTCATGTGGAGGAATGCTTGAGTTTCTGGAGAGTTTGCAGAGCTGCATTAATCACAAGGCTTAGGCAGCTTGGTCACAGGACCTCTTTTGCTAGAATTAGCTTGCAATAAAGAAAATTACGCATCCTGGGAAGATGTCTAGAAGTCCAGATCTTGAGATGGTTCCTGGGTAGTGTTTTCTCAGATTCAGTGAAGCTTAAAAGGATAGGACCCAGATACAGGACTCTGAATATCCAGCACAGGTGAACAAAAATGGCCATGCCACAAAGGAGGACTGAGTCCAGAAAAAAGGTTTGGAGCTTATTTCTTAAAAAAAAAAAAAAAAGGAAAAGAAAAATATAAAGGAAAGATGAGCTACTGAGCTACTTCACCTTTTGGCACTCGTAGTTTGGCACTGCTGCGAGGGAGAAGCAGTGAATTGATAACTGGAGCTCTCATTCCCATCCTCTGATAGAGTCTGGGTACCATTTTGATCCTGAGAGATACCCTGACCACAAGGATGGAGAGGATGTCTGCAGCAATATAACTGCCTTCATTATCATTGGCTATATCTTGAGAAACTCTTGACTTCTCTACACTATACTTTTTATTTAGCTTTCTGCTTTTTTCTTCTCACCTGTATATCTTACTTTATGCTTATTATTAAAAGACTGTCCTTTTCAGCCGAAACAGTATCTTTTGCAGCACAGCTACGAGTTCTGATCAGAAAGCGATTAACCAGTCAGATGCTGAAAAAATTTGCCAGTCTCGGGACAGCAGGTACAATGCTCTAGTCATGCATTCAGAAAGAGAAGCTACATTTGCAATGTTTGCTGTCCTTTATAGAAATACAGCAGGCCCCATTACCTGTACTTGTGCTGTTTTGGTTTCCAGAGAACATGGCTGGTCTCTGACAAACGTTCACAACTGCTAAAGATGATCACAGCAAGCTTTCTTTTTGCCCCCAGCAGGGGAGGTGTTTGCCGTCTGGAACACCAGACTTAAATTACCAGCAAGCAGGAAGTTTTCCTTTCAAAAATGTATTTCGGCATGAAGAGGAGAGAAGAAGGGATGTTAAGATGAAATCCTCATTTAGTATAGAATGTTTGCATTTATCTCACTCTTATCTTCCATTATTATTAACACACAATTTAAATTTTGATTTGTTTTTTGCCTGAGGCTTAAGCAGGCTGAGGTCTCTTGAACTGAAGTCTTGAATTGTGAGCAACTGTTTAATGATTTGTAGGGGAGACGTGCAATTTAACACCTTTAGCTCTCTCCATCCACTTAGCCTCAAAATTAATATAACACACCTATTACCGAATTGCAGGCATTTCATTCAGGACTGCGGAAAAAAATGTTTTCTGTCTATCCCCTCCAACTAATGCTTCAGTGTATTAATGTTTTATCCTTAGAAAACTGAAGATGAGCAGACTTAACTTGGTTTGCCTATCCCTTTCACACAACCAGGGACAGCTGGATCGTTACAGAGTGTCTTGCTTCAAAATTTTCTTCAAAAGCCTCAAAGTTTTAGGTCAGCAGCCCTTGAAACTTCTGTAATACGTTTAACATCCCCTGTTGTGCGTGAAGGTGTAAGAACTCATATGGCTGCTTCTGTTGTCAGGACAGAGAAACACTCTGAAAGTCAGAAAGTGCACCAGGAATGCTTCCTGTTAATCAGGTGGGAGCACACAGCTGTTGCCAGAAATTAATTATTTCTTTCAGGAGTGGAAGGTTTTAGCAGGGGTTTGCTTGCCACTTTGGAAAGAACTTGGGTACTACATGACCTCTGGCAATATTGCTGATGCGATCATAAGCAGAAATATATAATTACCAGTTTCTGGTATGTGTCCAAAATCCTTTTGTGAATAATGTTGGAAAGGGAGGCTTATAATGAGCACGGGGAGCAATTAAAACTTGTATTTTGGAACCAGAAGCCCACATACTATTGGATTTTTGTCCATGCTATGCGCCATATAATTGACAAAACAGGTACACGTGCAGTGAATTACTGCATCTAGTTTCTCTGGTTCCACAGGAGAGAATGGTTTTCTCAAGCAATGTGTATCAGAATACTTCAAACAATTATTTTAGACTCCTCCATACTCTGAACAGTTTCTATAAAAGCAGTTTTAGTCCAAAAAGAATTTTTTCCCATATGTGGCCCCATGTGTTAGTCTGACAGCCCATGTCAGCCCCTTTATCTGCGCATTTTGGAAAGAAGCTACCCTTTTCTGTGCACCCTGGTGATGTGAGTGCAGCTGGTTCTGCACTGAAAGCTGTAACTGCTAATGCACGCCAGATATCAGGAAAAGGGAGTATGTAAATATATTCTGATGTCAGATGCCGTATCAGAACAGATTCCGGGCATTTGACTAGTCATCTTGGTGACTAGCAGGTTTTTTTTCAGGAATGCTATTTTTACATACGTAATAGTATCAACACACAAAACTGATAACATGGGGGTTAAACACCCTCCAAAACCTTAAAAAAATGTGCAGAATGAAGTGAAAGTGTAAATGTTTTTATGTATATTTAAGTAGTGTGTAGTATAAAAGAAACTGAACTGCAACAGACTGGGAGTCCTGACACAACGTGGGTTGCCCTCCTGAGACCTCACCTCTTTTTTAGCTTTAGAAATGTTACAAAGCATCAGCACTGACTCTCAACAGCAGAGGGTTAAAGCAGGGAAAGGTGCTCGAGGGAAAAGAATGGGACTCTGTGGGAAGTGAGGCATTCTGCTGACAGGAAGGTTTAAAACCTTTGTGAAACCCATGTTTTTACTTAGGGCTTCAGTCTGGATGTTTTTTCTTTCAGAAACATTTACTGAGATTGACTATAGTGCTCATTTGTAGTCACTGTTCAGTCAAGAGGAAGCAGCATAGATAAAGCAATAAATGAGAAAGTTCTGTATTCTTCGAGGTGGCTCTGTCTTAGCAGTTTGATTTCCACAGCGTTGATCCTTGTGTCTGTTTATGCCCAAGCAAAATAGGCTTGGGCATAAATGCCATACAATCTCCACTCATTTCGACTTGTGGTGGTATTTAGCCCCTGTTTCGCCTACATGACATACAAGGTTAAGTTGTGACGATGAATGTTGCAGTTGAAGATAAGGTCCTTGATGTGACCAAACACTGGCTTTGCAACCTTTAGTAATTGCCTTAACTTCATGAGTGCTTGGATGAGTCCATCTGCTCTGGCTATGTTTTAACTTGGTGTTTTGCACATGTAAGTTCCCTTCTGCAGTTCCAGTTGGAGAGATTCTTTACACCCTTGGGCATGGTGCTGGTCCTGAATAGCTTCTGGTACGCAGCCAAGTGTAGCTGCGGTTCCTTGCTGGGTAAGTAATCACAACATATGGGCTGAAGTGTGAAATGTACCTTGAGGAAAGGCTGTTTGTGAAGGTAAGTGCTCAGTGATAGAATCAGCTGCAAAAAAATGCCCGGCAGTATAAACTTCAGAAATGGAACAAGTTAACCTGCATGAGTGTACACACATGCTGACTATGGAAAGGATGGCATTTAGCTGGTACATTTCAGGATGCGTAAACAGAAATACACTACTATTTAGTTTTTGGGTATCGTGCAAAATGACCTAATCAGTAAACTGAAACCAGCCCCAAACACAGCTTTGCTGAACTCGTTAGTAAAAATAACATTATGCAATGTTCCTACTGATTTAACAGAGGTATTCAGGAGTATCAGTTTTATTCTAACTAATTGTGAATTTTTCTTTATGGCAAACTGTTTAGTTGAATGTATTTTAAAGTCTTATAAAGAAGCGTGGTAAGGAAATTAAACATACTGCAACTAAAGGTGTAGATACTTTTGCTTTTTACAGCTCTGTGTGCACTGGAGTCAGTTCTGAAAGCTGATGGTGTATTTGATTTTGTCCATGCCACAAAGCTTTTTCATGGATTATATTAGAAGTAAAACTGCCACTGGTTTGCATAATTTAGTTCTCGATTTGATTGTGATATTATTGTTCTGTCAACAAGTGCCTTAGTCTACTAACTTTCATGGATTAATGCCCAGCAATGGGAACTTCTCCTTTAACTTGAAGACAAGAGAGTATCAGGTGACAAGCAGACTCTTGCTTATTATTGAGAAACTTTCATTATCGCCAGTCTTGTCTTGGCTCACAAATGTCTCAGTTTTCTGTAATGTATTTCTCAGATTCACTAACTGAGGAAAGTAGAATGGTTTCAGTTCCGTTTCAGTTCAGACTGTCTTACTTGTCAGTCTCAAACTGGCAAACAAATTTTCTTTTGGCGTTAAAGGATTAAATTATTCTTTACAAAATTGAAAAGGCAACTGCAAAAGAAAAGTTTCAAAGGAATCTCATGCAAGCTTGAAATATAACTGGCACTGCTATCTTGAAAAAATTTTCATACTTCTTTCCTTTTTTAGCTGAATCCCTTCTTGCCTTCAGCTCTCCTCAGAGGTGCTGTTTTATGGGGTTGAGTGAGCTCTAGACTGAGTCCACAATGGGTGCAGGTGCCCCCTCTCCCCCTAGTTTGCTCATACCTGAAGAATCCATTGATATGAATTTAATCTTAAAATTCATTAAGATTAAATAAATCTTCATCCATTTATTAATCTCTGCTTCTTTCTCACTTGCTAATTAATCTTACTGAAGCATGTTGTATTACTTCGGAGGCTTATGGGAGTGAGGTGTTGGTTTTAGCTATTTACATCTACATTTGCAAGGCACTCACTCTCTGCTCTGTTGATTTGCTCACTAGTTTTATGTCCCTGTTCAAGACATTAATTAAATGGCTGCTTTATTGGATTCCTTCATCTTCAGATTGCCCACAATTGCTGTGTTCTTCATGGCTTCTTTACAGCTTTTGTACCACAGAGTTAATTTTTAATATTTTTTTGAAGAAAGCTACAATGTGGGGCATCCCTGATAACCATCCAAGGCATCTCTAGTGTAAAGATGACTGACCTGTAAAGGTTTTGAACTGTGCCAGTTTGCCCCTGCTACTAGCTTTTGAGATCTAAGCTTTTGCCATCTGTCAATGTGCTACATTAATTAGTCTGCTTGCTGAGGAAAATTGCTCAGCGTGGTAGAGGTCAGTGAGAGATTTTGATACGAAGAGAAGTTGGTGGTGAGGGTTCTGCTTCCTCTTTTCTGTGTGTGCAAAAGAGGAGATGCAGTTGGCGAATTTCTAGAACATCTGTGTAACCATCAGAAGCAGACATGAAATCAGAAATGCAGAATTATTAAACAATCTGGCTTTGGTGAGTATTCTCTACGTCAGATAGGTTTATTTCCTCCTGAACCATACTGCTATGTAAATATTACAGAAGTAAATGTATTTCGAGTCTGGATTGTTAAAAGTTTCATTTCATTGTGCTCTTAATACCTGCATTGCAGGGAAATCTGATTAATTCTTAGAATTGTATAGCCTGTATAAGAAAACCCTGTTCCTTCTACTTCCTGAGGTAGTAATTATTAAGGAATTAGCATCTCATGTGAGATTCCCCAGCTTGAAGATTACATATGTTTGAAATTCTGTTTTGAGGATGTTAACCAAGTGTGAAGAAGTCTTTTGCTGGTTCTTCGATCCGAGATTAATTCCATGCACAAAAGGTGGGTTATATTTGCTCCATTATTTACATTTTTTTTTCTTTTTGTTATATGTAGTTTGGGCTCCATCAAAGCTCAGGTGCTGGTGTTTCATCACTGTTGGAAGATATTCTTGTATTTTGAAATTTCCGTGAAAATGCTCATCTCTATGTTGAATTTCAACAAAGGAGAAAAAAATGTTTGTATGGCAATTTTCATTCTCAGCCAACTATCATTTAATACCATCATAAAATAGCACTGGAGGGGTAACTTGATCCTTTATATTCCTTTGCTAGATGTATCTGCTTTATTCTTTGGCTGTGGCACTCTTCAGTGCTATACAGTGTGGATAATCCTTTCTTGCAGTGTATAGCATAGCATGAAGAGTAAATTAAAACTTCTCTGGCAATGGAGCATGGACCATTGTTTTTTTCTCCCTTCAGAAGATTTCTTGCTTTGTTGCTGATGTCCCCATTGCTCAGGGGGAAGTTCCTCCAGATAGTTCCAGATCAGAGTTCATTTGATTCGAGAGGTTCTTTACCAGCCTGGACTCTGAAAAACAGGGTCAGCTGCTCTTTGAAGGAAGCTAGGTCAGTTTTCCTTGTCTTGTTTCTTCTTGTGAGTGATATTGTACTTTGACCAACCATCCCAGCTTCATTTCTATCCTGTTCTCAGATACCCTTTCTGAAGACAGAATTTGACCTGTCAATTGGATTCTGTTGAGGTAGGAATTTACACTTTACTGATTATTCTTTTATTGCTTTTGGTGATGTTAATTACACATATTTTTGCTTTATTTATTCGAAAGAAAACTTGATTAAGCTTGGTAGGAGACTTGGAGGGGAAGAGCTGAGTTTTGATATCAGTCAACCAAGTTACTGGGGACTAACACGTTATAACCTAGAACTGAAAAAATAGACTTTTGGTTTTTGTTTAGCGAAAGATTACACACGGGTAGAATTTTAAAACTTTGGGATTTTTCCAAACAAAATCAGCACAGGAAAAAAATTGGGGCTGCTTGTCTCCTGAAAGAGTTTATGATTTGCTCATACTACAGGTTGTCTGTGTGTTGCATTAAATGCTTGATGACAAGAGAGTAATGCCCAGGTCATGCTTTTCTGTGATAGGACTGATGCTTCTCCAGATCTATGTAGGCTATTGGTAGACATGACCATATATTAATTCTGCTGTACCATTTTCCATATCCACAAAATCTTTCCCTCCCTGGGCTTTTTGATCCTTAGAACTAGACTCATTGTCCCTCACTGTTTCTAGAGAGATTCTTCGTCAAGTTGCAACTGTGGGGTTATTTGGAAAATGTAGGAAACCTAGGAGATCCTGGAGTCTTTGGAAGTGTCGAGTGTTTTCTTTCAGATTTTGAGTACCACTGCTTCATACGTAGTGTCCGGTTATGCTGTGGTTTTCCCATTAGTATGCTTTTGGACAGACTGGCATTACAATATTAGTGAGACAGGATAATTCCTCCTCAAGCTTCTTGGCTTACTGGAAAAATAGACTCTTATGTCTTTGTGCTATAGCAAAGACAAAGCTGATCAGCTTCTCTGATCAGCTGAGCCTGAGGGGGTGCATGGCCATATCCCGGGTCTTTGGGGTGTGAAGAGGAATATCCTTTGGCTCTTCTGACTGAAGAGATTGCTTTTGCACCAGTTCCTGTGAGGGTCCATGGGGCCTTTGGAGTTCCCCAGATGTGTCGGGACACGGCGTGTAGGCAAAGAGCAGGTAAGTGACTTGTTGTGTTCTCCTTTACTTCTAAATGCATTGATGTCTGTTTGTACTGGTTTTGAATTTTTGAATATTGTTGAGAAATTTGTATTTCTTAACATTTTTGTGGGTTTTTTTGTGATTGTGTTCCTCCCATTATAGAGCAAGTTTCTACGTGCTGATTGTGTTCCTCCCATTATAGAGCAAGTTTCTACTTAACTGAGAAAATTAACTGGAATTAAAGAATGGGCGTGAGGAGGATTGATAAGAACTTAGAACAAGACTATGTAAAAATAAATTTTTTATTGCATAAATTTTGTACCGAATTTTATTTTAGCAAAAAAAAAGAGCAAATTCAACAGTTCAACAATTTCAGCAAATTCCATGTGTTTTCTTTTCATAGGGCTGGGCTCATCACTGAGAAATATTGATCAGCAAAGATATGTTTCTGTAACGCACCAAGATAAACCTAGAAGGCATAATGGGACCCCTTAAAAATATCTCTGTCTTTGCTTGTGTCTTTACATTCACGCTATGGAATAATATCCAGCCAACTGTGGAAAATGAATTTATTGCAAATTATTCAAGCAGTTTGCTAACTAATGTTCCAAAAAACATTCCAGTCCATACCCAGGTATTAGATTTATCACATAATAGGATCTCTGGACTTAGTATCTCAGAATTTATTTCTCTTTTTGACCTTCAAGTATTAAATCTTTCTCATAATTTAATTACAGAACTTGACTTCAGTGTCTTCATTTTTAATCAAGATTTAGAATACTTAGATTTATCTCATAATAACATTTTGAAAGTTTACTGTCAAACCCTTGCATATCTTAGACATTTAGATCTTTCTTTCAATAAGTTTACTGCCCTGCCCATCTGTCAGGAATTCAGGAACATGTTTCATTTGGAGTACCTAGGATTAAGTGCCATGATGATGCGAAGGTCAGACTTCAGATATATTGTACATTTGCAGCTGCACACTGTCTTCCTAACCTTAGAAGACTTTTCTCTGTATGAGCCTCAGAGTCTGACAGCCTTGAATACAAGGAGCCTTCACATTGTTTTTGCAGCAAACCAAAACTTCAGTTTTTCCCTCTTGTATGATGGCATGAGCACTTCAGAAAACTTAAGAATAGTTAACATAAGATATGCCTTGAGCCACAAAGATTTCCCTGCTCCTCCTTTAACGCTTCTGAAGAAAATCAAGACAACAGCTCTGATGCTTGACACTGTAGACTTACAATGGTCTATCATTTTGCAAATTTTCCTGCTCATTTGGTATTCACCTGTGGAGCACTTGACCGTGAGAAATTTGACTTTTCGAGGACCACTGGGGGAGCTGACTGAATACGAATTTCTACCCTTATTAAGCCCACTGGAACAAATAATCTCTTTGGGTGGCTCCATGAAAGTGCTGACTTTGGAGCATGTTCGTAATAAGGTATATTACTTCAACCAGGAGATTCTATACAGACAGTTTTCAGAGATGAATATTGCCAGTTTGACAATATATGATGCATATATGCCACACATGCTTTGCCCCAATAGAACAAGCTCATTTCAGTATTTAAATTTTTCTCACAATGCCCTGACGGATGAATTATTCCAGAATTGTGGCACTCTGACAGAACTCAAATTACTAATTTTGCAGAGGAATAAATTTGAAAGCCTTTCCAAGGCAAGCTTCATGACCAGCCGTATGAAATCGCTGAAATATCTGGACATCAGCAGCAACTTGCTGAGTCACGATGCAGCTGGTGTGCAATGCCAGTGGGCTGAGTCTCTGTCAGAGTTGGATCTGTCCTCCAATCAGTTGACGGATTCCGTGTTTGAGTGCTTGCCAGTCAACATTGAAAAACTCAAGCTACAAAACAATCAGATCAGCAGTGTCCCCAAGGGGACGGCTGAGCTGAAATCCTTGAAAGAGCTGAACCTGGCATCGAACAGGCTGGCTGACCTGCCGGGGTGCAGTGGATTTGCGTCCCTGGAGTTCCTGAACACAGAGATGAATTTGATCCTCACCCCATCTGCCGACTTCTTCCAGAGCTGCCCAAGGGTCAGGGAGCTACAGGCCGGGCACAATCCATTCAAGTGTTCCTGTGAGCTGCAAGACTTCATCCGTCTGGAGAGGCAGTCTGGGGGGAAGCTGTTTGGCTGGCCGGAGGCGTACGTGTGCGAGTACCCGGAAGACTTGCAAGGAACGCAGCTGAAGGAGACACAGACGAAGCGGAGAGCTTGGCACAACCACCCTGAAGAGCAGGAGACGGGTCTGCAGTTTCACGCGTTCATTTCCTACAGCGAGCGTGATTCGTTGTGGGTGAAGAACGAGCTGATCCCAAACCTGGAGAAGGGGGAGGGCTGCGTGCAGCTGTGCCAGCACGAGAGGAACTTTATCCCCGGGAAGAGCATTGTGGAGAACATCATTAACTGCATCGAGAAGAGCTACAAGTCGATCTTTGTGTTGTCTCCCAACTTTGTGCAGAGCGAGTGGTGTCACTATGAGCTGTACTTTGCCCATCACAAATTATTCAGTGAGAACTCCAACAGCTTAATCCTCATTTTACTGGAGCCGATCCCTCCGTACATTATCCCTGCGAGGTATCACAAGCTGAAGGCTCTCATGGCCAAGCGAACCTACCTGGAGTGGCCAAAGGAGCGGAGCAAGCGTGCCCTTTTCTGGGCTAACCTGAGGGCGGCTATTAGCATTAACCTGCCAGTATCCTTTGAAGCAAATGATGAGCAGAGTGATGTTACTTCTACTAGTAGTCTAAATGAGTATGTGAATACAGATTTCACTGTCTTGCAGTAAATTTTGTTAATCATTTTTTATAGTTTTTTACTGTATTCCTAGTTTGTACCAAAATGTAATCGTGCCACATACAGAAATTGCTATTGCTACATCTAGTAATGAAAGTAGTCAGAAGTGTTCTGTAGTTGCCCATGATCAACAAAGCAAAGGAGAGAGAAATTTTTATAGTGATTGCATTTATTTTTGTTGACTTGGGTTGCATTTATTTTGGGCTTTTCCCATTGAAAGCGATATGTGAAAGTAACAAAAATAGCGGCTGGTTCAATGTCATCAGGACTGTCAAGGCATTCATTCAATCTTTATTCTGGCATGGATGTTGTGGGGTTAAGGTGGAAGGGATCTGCTTCCTTGGGTTTAATTAAATAATACAAAGAAGAAGAAAACTCTTGTTTAAACCCCTTTCTGTACATTGGTATAGTAGATGTCAAAGGTACGGTATCCCTACACCTTCAGCCTGTTTTCCTTTCCTGGAAGTCTTTCCCTTCATCACAGACAGAGAGTTTCCTGGATTGGAGCTGAACGTTGGAACTGTTAATCCATGTTTAATATTCTTCTTCCTTTGCTGTACTAAACATTCCGACTTGCCTAGGTTTACCTACCAAGTCATGATTTCATAGAATTTGCTATGCATTATCTTCAAAATAATAGTTAATATTTGAACTTATGAAATTTTTATAGTGTTATAATATTGCTGCTTTCTGCTCTGATCATATAAAGTTACAATGGGTTGCCTATTTTTCCTGTTTTCTAAAATGTAGTTATATATTTCAATAGAATATTTTTCTTATTATGAACTCTTTCAACTGTAAGAGGGCAAAGAAAAATGAGATGCCTCAATCTGTTGCCATTTCATTAGAAAAATTTCCCTCAATTGTGCTGCTGTAATTGTTCTGTTAAACCATAAAATATATTTTATTGCTATCTCCCTGCAGCAGCTAATAAGTAACCTACATTATAATGTAGTTTTATAGGTATTTAGAATACATTTTACACAATAATAACAGGAAACGCCCTCATAATTATAGAAAATTGGCAATGCTGCAAATGAACAGTGGGAAACACAACTTGCACAACCATTGAGAAAGAGTGGTATTACCAGAAGTGTCACTGAATTAGGTAATTTTTTAAGTATTTAAACTCAGAAGCTTGATGTTTGGAGGTAAATCCCCTTCTACCTCCAGACTTTCACTGAACTCTGGTACCTTGCCCTTTTATTAGCAGGTGCTGAGGGTCTTCATGCAGGTGAAAAAGGAGCAATTTTCATTGGGAAATAACTTCTCTGCTAAAATCAAACTGATTAAACTAATGGTATTTGTTGATAGGAGACGTCTAATCACTTGCTGTGCTTGGATTGAATTTGACAATCTAATAAACCTCTCCTTTTTTATCTGTTATTAAATTTGCTGGTGTCATTTCACTGGTGATGAGGAGCTGTGTAATTATACTTATGGCTTAATGGAAATTCAAAGCCCTCTGATCAGAACCATGAGCAGCATGTGCAGTGAGCAAGCCAGTAAGACGTTGTGACCCTTGACACTCACCCAGTTGGCTGACCGGGCACCTGCCAGGCATGTGTGCTGGCAGCCAGATGAAGCAGTAGGTGGGAAGCTACGGGGCAGCTTCCCGGTGTCCAGAAGTGCTGAGACACCGCTGTGCACCCACCCACCTACCAGCTCAGGGTAAGTGGATGCCGAGTGCCTGGCTCCGAATGTTGGTATTTGGAAAGAAGTGTTAAAAAATCTTTATTAAGTCTTGATTTTGGGTGAAGGGAAGTTAGCTACTGACTTCTCTGATAACTTCTAACTGAGACCTCCCCCTTCCCAAACCCAGGACCAAGCTTTCTTTGCGTACCTTAAAAAGGGCTGCTAAACCCTCAGTACTTCAGTGGGAGCTGGTGGATGCCTTGTGCTTGGAAAAACAGGTTATTTATGATGAGAGATGTTCAAAGACACAGAGGAGCTTAGGGCTCTGCAGGAGTTTGAGTTGGGAAGGCTTTACCTTACCCTGAGAGTTACTCATGCTTCATAGCAACCCAACATGGTAGCCAGGGCTGTCAGGCACCATGGGGTGCTGCCGAAAGCACATGGCCAACGTGGTGTGCCAGCCAGCCAGTTATAGCAGGCTGCGAGGCACTCTCCACAGAAGTAGTGATGTCAAACCTGGGGCTGCAGCCTGAATGCACCACTGAAGATGCGACGTTTCCTTCTTCGCAGGTTTTTCCCAACCGTACAGCATCCCTCTGGGTGCAGGTTCTTCACTTCCTCTGTAACATCGCTGGCTGCTCTTTGGCAGTTGCCTCCTAAGCTTTATCGACTTCTTTATTTCAGCTATCGCCAGAGTTACACCTGTATAATTAACCGTTTGTGTGCTATACAGCTCTCAGGAACTTAAGGAACTGTTCAGCCACAGAGGCCAATGCACATTGTGCTGGTTACGAGTTTTGTAACCTTTACCTCTCCAGGGCTTCTCTGAGTTACTCAAAAACCTGTGCCACCCCCCTTCCTGAAAGACTTCTCCCCCTCCCAGGCGTTACAGTCCAGGGCCACGATTAGCATTCACACTTAGTGGTAGCGTTTTAATGGGCACAAAGCCTGTCCTGTTTACTAGACGAGAAAAGAGGAAGTAAAATTTCTCAGCTCAGGCTTTCCGGTCTCTGCAAATGCAATGCATCAGCAAACTGGGGTTTATGTCCTAAATAACGTGCAGGGTCTGGGCTGTGGCAGAGTACCTTACCTTCAAGACTGTTCTGAAACCTAAGTTGTAGGTAGGTGCGAAAGGAATAATTTCTGAAGTCTGCCAAGTATATTGTTTTAGGATGTTAACCCTCTAACCTCCCTTTATACGCTGTCCTTCCTACCTCATTAATCTTTCATCCACATGCCAAGTATTTCAGTTACTTACATACTGTACCATACTCTACAGCTGCTTCAAATACACTCCTGAGCTCCTTTGATAAAGCAGATTAATTTTGTTTTTCTTTTGTTCAAGTTAACATTTGACAGTGTTTCTTGTCGCTTCTCAGTTGGAACCTACATTTTCTTCCTCCCTGAAACTCTGTTTCTGTTCAGAGGGTGCCTGAAGTGTTGATTATTTTTTTGTTGTTGTTATTTTGGCCAAATGTAGCAAATGCTCTTTTTCACTGTTTTTTTTACATTGAAGATTTGTTTTTAAAAAAAGGAAGTGTTCCTAGAGCTGCTTCTTGGGAAGAAGTTTGAGAGACTTAGAGGACACGAGTATCTGGTTGAACTCCTGAAATGCTGTCGTACCAATGTCCATATTTATAAAAAAATTGTCAGGTGCTGCTCTCGCTGAGCTCGCAGGCTTGGAGGCAGGGATGAAAGCAAGCATTGTGTATCCACTTTGTTAGTGTTCGGCCAGGCCAGAGTTGTAATTGCAGAGGATATGTTAAAAGTGTTTTTATGGCTGAAAGTTGCAGTAAAGACACAAAGATCAGTTGTGAATCCCTGTGCCTGGCAGGATTACTCTGTGATAGAAGGTAAGGCAGATGTAACAGCTTCATTTCTTAACTGTGAAAAAATAAGTATTTTCTTAAATTACACTCAAAACCTCAAATGTTGCCATTTTCTCAGACTAAGAGTGACACCCAGTGGCCGGTTAAATTATCATTGAATACTTCCTGAAGATGAGGGCTCATGCTAGAATACGTGCAGTGCGTTTTGCCTCTTAGGAAAGCTGAAATAAAGAATCACGTCGGCCCAGCAAATGCGGGAGCCTCTTGCAGGTGTGTGTGGTCTGGAGAGGACAGGTCAGGACCGGCCCTTCTTCGTGGCAGCTCCTGTGCTGGCCCCGTGGCTGTGACCCCATCCCCAGCGCCATCGGTCCCCAGTTGGCTGTGGGGCACAGGCACTGACTGTTTCGCTAACAAATGAACTTCATAAATCAACAGTGTAATACGAGCACCGACTCTGGCTTTTCAGTGAGCAATCCTTATTTTCAAGCAGGACACCAAGATGGAGATGCCGGTCATTTTCTCATGTTCTGTTTGCTGTTGGCAGGGTTTTTACTTTTACGCCTCACTCTTGCCGTCCCCGCTTTCCCTCCTGTTCGTCCCCATGGCATCGTGTAGGTCTCACCAGGCTGGTCCCCTGGCTCCCCGGACCAACATCCCACCATCATTACCTCACCAGGAATGGGCTTGCTCATTTTGGGCATCTGAAAAGGTACGGAGAAATAAACCCCACTCTTCAGCCCGCTCTGCGCGTGGTCACCTCTCGGCATGCCCACGGACCTGCCCCGAGGCCAGTAGGATTTGCACCCCTGGATGTGTTCTCAGCCTGCGGCCACACTCTGCTCCCGCATCCCAGTCTCCAAAGGGCTGCTGGGGAGAGCGCGGCTAAAGGAGCAGGCCCAGCCAGCCACTCTGCAAGCAATAAAAAAAATGCAAACTGGCATGTTTGCTGCTCCAGACTCGCCAATGGACTAATTAGAATGCCCTAATTAGACGCGAGTGAACTATTTTTGAGTTTGCCACCGAGTGTGCTGATGGGCACGGCTCCTCTGCAGGGCAGGAGCCAGAAGAGCCAGCGGTGCCTCGCGCGCCTGCCCTCGGCCGAGTGTGGGGCAGGTACGGAGGGGAGGTGGGCACGTGCGCTGCGGGGGGACCATCCGAAATACTCGGGGCTGCCTGGGGCCAGCAGGGATCCCTGGGCAAACCCCGACCCTCGTACCTGTGTCATTGCTCCCTGTCGTACAGCCTATGATGACATAGAAACATAGAATCGTGACCACCAACAGTATTCTGAGGGTTTTATTAACAAGTATAATACATACGCACTGTATCCTAAATATAGTATGAGGACTGTACAGTACAAATTTATGTTCACAGTTTTGACATGACAAAATGTCATTACTGAATTCCCATTGGACTACCAAAGTAGAAACAGTGAAAGTACATTAAACATTCACATCTTTAGTAAGAAAAGATTACCAAAATGTCTCCATATTTGCTAGTAATGCACGCTAGAAACCTTTAATTACCCATTCAGTCTTATTAGCTTATAAAATATATTACATTTTATTAAAAAAATTCTGCATAGTTTATACAAGTATTAAAGTAAATAGAACAGCCCTGCTATATTTGCAGGTGAGAGATGCTAAGCAGAAAGATTATTTTGACCCTCTAATATTTAAAGTACATTTAAAAAAGTGCTAATATCTGTAAAATACAATGAAAACTGTTGTAGCCCTCTTAAGATATGTAAAATGCTTTGTCATTTTTTATAGAAAGGATTTGTATTCATCTACATGTTGCTAACCTTGACATAGACAACAGCTTGTTTGTACAAGATGTGGTATTAGAAAGATCACTGCAGAATGGTGGTGTCCATTGAAATAAAACTGCACACAGTAACACCTGCTCAGCTTTTTGCGATTGTCTTAGAGACGAGTAATTCATTATAATCAAAAGGCTTAAAACAGGCACATTTTAGTAAAAGAGTATTACCTGTTACACAGTGCACAGTGCAATACTGCTAGGGAAAAAGGTGGGTTTTTTAAATACACACGTTCTGCAGGATTAGGGTTTTCTGAAGATTAGGGTTTTCTGTCTTTGTATCTAAACTGGCTTCTCTTTAGGGCAAAGATGGAAGGACTGGCTTTAAAAAGCATTTAGTTGTGTACATTTAAAAGTTACAAGATACTCCTCAAATGAAAGTTTGCTAACATGAATCAATGAGCCAGTTGAGATGTAAATTCCCATTTTCAGCTGAAAGATGAATGCATATTTGTTTGTGACTTTTTTGACATCCCACAAAAAGACACCAGACACAAGTGAAAAATCCTGTGAGGCATTTACATGACATAATCTCAGATATTTATATTTAATATTTAAATTTGTGTTGTCCTAAATCACAAGGCACATGGATAAAGGTATTTTAAAATTCTATTGAATCTCCACTGTATTTGTCCCCACCGCTGGCAGAGATATTTTCAAGCAAAAGGTACACAGGCTAGTGAATGAACATGGTAAATCACCTAGATTAACTTCTCCAAAGTAACTTAGTTACAAAGAAGTTTTGATTTTAGGGTACTTGATTTTAGATTTTTAATTTAAAAAAATATTAAAGAAAACATTTTGTGAAAGCCTTGAAAGAGAGAGCATTGGAAGGAAATGTTCCTTAAACATCCCAAATTTTATGCATTTGTATTTGTTAAGCTAAAATAGGATTAGTTGCTATTAAGCTGCTTATTTTTATAGGATCTCATCTGCTTTTTTCCCTAGAATATAATGGAGAATTGTTTTCATCCCAGAATAGTAAATGTCTCTAGACTTGTGACTGATGCTACAGGGGCTCCACACAGCCTCTGCCAGTGACACGTCTGCGCTTACGGGAACCGCCATTAAAACCTAAAGCTGAATGAAGGAGCCCAGTTCTGCTACCACTGACGATAAAAATATCCAACAAAAATCCCCATTCCAGAACAGATGCTCATTAGTATCATATTCTTCCCTGCAAGTTCCTCAATGTTAGTAACAACCCAGCCTACCAAAAGACGACGGATTAATCTCCCAGGTTTTTCGGCTCAGTAGACATCAGACGAGGGCAGTTGCACAATAGATCTGGTGCAACTTCCCCCAGTCCTTGCCAAGCGGCGAGGATGTATGGTGCTGTAGGAGAGCACACGGACCTTCCTCACAAAAGCTTGGCAGCAATACTCCCAGCCCCGCTTCGAGGAGCACATGTTCGAGGCTCTATTCCTTAAAAAAAATTTGCTGGTTCCATATTCTGACACGCAAGATTTGTTACACAACTGGAACAATACTTTGTCTTTCACAGCAATTGCCGTAGGAGCATTTTTCTCTGAGAAGTACAGATCCTCTTCTCTAATTCTGTGGGTGTGCGGGTGTCAGCAGAACAGCTGGTAAACTTTGTCACCAAGGGGAAAACTCTCCGCAATCAAACTCTTGCATCTGCAAGAGTGTTTCAGTTCGCTGTTGGACTCCACACGCTCCAGCAGCAGGGCCTACCTGCTCCATAAGCTCACACGTACCCACCTGCAGATGGGACACTCCACCTGCCTCCTCCCAGAGAGTTTTAGGAAACTCCTCCTCGCCTGACGCCTCCAGTTTCCAGAGGGTTTTTCCAAGAGAAATGGAAATCTGACTTCAGTATGTTTAAATTGCAGGGAATGGTGTTTGCCTTATGTAGGGGAAAGAAGGAAAATGCCCTGGTGCGCAAGAGCCTACAGAAATAAAAATCCCGTTTCCTTGCAGTGCCACACGATCTGCCAGCTAATACAGACAGAAACCTTCCTTTCAGCGGGCTTCTAGAGACAGGAACATTTCTGCAACTGCAGGTTGCTTGGATTCACTTTATTTTATCTATGGAGTTGTGTTTGCTAACTTGACACCGGAGTTAAGACCTTGTGATGTGATTTTTAATGCAATAGACACATCCACAGAAAAGCTCAGTCTACCTAAGGCTGAGAGACTGCCAGAGCCACAAATCAGAGTTATCACATGGGTGATTTGGTGTATGTTTTTATCCAAAACAGACACACGATTCAATTTACCATCAGAATTGCTTCTATGTGATGCCATCTTCTCATAAAAATATTGTGGATTAATAATTTTAAATACTGTAGTGTACTGCAGTGGCACTCACTCACAACAATACCGTTTGGAGCTTTGTTAACATAACAATTGCTATTTTCTGAGGTGCAGCAAAAAGAAAAACTACTTAGAGGAAATGTAGGGGAGTGATTGTAGAGGGATAGTCCATATCCCTGAAATGAGGTGCAGTAGGTTTCTACGGTCATCATTTAATGCCATGTCACAGGAGAGTACCGTGTGTGTTCCATCATACTCTTGCACACAAACCAGACACACAGCATCACACAAGGTCTTCATTTAACAAATCCACCAGGGCATTATGCAATAAAACCAAGGACATATACTACACTGTAATACAGAGGACAGATGACATTGGTTTAGATGCACAGTATTATGTATAGACTCGATTCTGGCCAATTTTTCTTCTTGACTGGGGTAAACGATATTGTGACTCAATCTTTCTGTAAAGTAATTATATTGCTTAATTTATTTCTACAGGGTTATTCACTGTTTGGGCAGAGGGGATTTTTGATTCAGGTGACTTTCTAAAACTGTTATATTAACCATATTGCAGAAATCAACACGGTGGGGAGAGTCCATTCATTGCACTGTTGAGCATAAAATGAGAGTGTATCCCTTACAGGGCACATAAATAAAAGTCTCTGGCAAGGACTAGCATTTTGGATATTCAATAACATTTACTACTTTATCAGTATATGCTGGGTTGATTATATGAAGAAACCAACAAAAGCTGTTAGTTTACAAATTCCCTTATTCACAATGGAATACATTAAACACACTGTCTGCAGAAAGGGTTTGCTTAGCATCCCCAGGAGAAAAAAGAAAAGAAGTGTTCACATTCTTTAGGTCTGACCCGTGGCAAGGACATAGAAGGGTTAGATAACATCTGTTACTGACCATACGTAAGCTTTTAATGGTATAAACTCAGAGATTCAGACCAGCTGAATCCAAACTAAAATGCATGTGTGAAAAAAAAAAAAACCAAAAAAAAGAAAGGGTGTGACAGGAGTCGGGGAGTCAGGGACAGAAGACATTCAGACTAGCATGTGGCGTTTTCTGTGAAGAGCAAGATGGTCCGAACGTGAAAAGCTACGGTCACAGTCTGGGCACTGAAAAGGTTTGATTCCTGTATGCTTGCGGAAATGCCGCGTTAGTTCATCAGAACGAGCAAACTTCCAAGTGCATCCCTCCCAAGTGCATTTGTATGGTTTTTCACCTGGAAAAAGAAACACAGAAGTGGGGATTTAAGACACAAACACACCAGTTAAGTATCTGACAGATATTGGTCAAATTTCAGCAGTACTCGAGTGCTTACTCAAAAAGCCTCCAAACACCACTGGGCTGCAGAGTACTCTGTGCTAGAAACTGTGTAGTTGAAGTCAACAGATCAAAAAATTGTTTCCTGCCACAACTTATTTTTTTATTGTCTCTCTGTTCCTCCCTCTGCCATATTAGCACTTGTTTTGTCTCATCAAGCCCAGAAGCATGAAGGTTTAAGCATTTGTTCAAGTATTTTCAAAACCAGGACCTCATAGTCTAGATTAGCTGGGGAAAAGGACCGGTGTTACCATTCAGCACAGCAGGCAGCAATCTTGTTGTGACCGTTTAAAGTTACTGTAGTAAAAATAACTGGCACAACTGTCACAACTAGCTCAACTTAAAATCTCTGTCAACCATTACTTTCTAATTTGTGATCCTCCTCCTCCTTAACACCATTGTGCCACTCAGCAGGTAAAGAGCTGGCTTGAGTAGAGGTGTAAGACAGGCATGAACTGGGCTCCATTTTATCTAAATGCATCCCGTATCTTTGTAAAAATCTTGGATATACATATATACAACCATCAGCATGCCAAGATGAACATTTCTGCGGAGAAGAGATGGGGACATGTTTGCTGGAACACTCGCCCAGAAAAGAGCGCTATCGGAGCAGTGGTTAGCATGTCCACATGAAGCAGATGTGCTTGTATTTGGCACACAGTCCAGACTTTTGCAAACGGGCTACTCCCATGGAAGTCTCAGTCAAATTTAACAGTGATGTAAGAGGTGAGGTCGTGCAATTTGAACTGATTTGGTGTTTACGGGGTGTGCAGAATGAGTAATCTGCAAGCAACTGGACAGAAAATGAGCAAAGTGCCAGCGAATGTAAAGCATAATAGCATATACCATGATCCTGCTTTGGCTTACAGCCTCTTGGTTTTGGTTTTTCCTGCTGCATCCTCTGTCTTTTGCTCAGCCTATAATTATATTCCGAACCACGCCAGATCTAATTTCTGTCATTTCGTTATTCACACCTGTGGTCACCTGGCCATTAGAGCACAAACTAAAAACCTCTGTCTACTGTTTTACCATAGACTTGATGAAAGAAAAGCATAGTAATGCTCAAACCTGTATGGGTTCTTCTGTGAGCTTTCAGATGGGAGCTCTTAGTGTAGACTTTGTTGCAGCCCTCGTAATCACATCGATGTATCCTGCGTTTTCTTTGCGTGTCCGGAGATTCCACAGGTAAAGGTCTCTTTCCTGGCTGAACTATAACTGAAGGGTGATTCCTGCAAAGTGAAATTGAATGTTAAAAATGAGAAACATTTAGCACAGCAAACCTCAGCTAATATGATTCATGACAGAGCCCTTTATTCACTACCACTCTGTCTCTTGGCAGAAAGAACAACATTACATGCATGTCGAAAAATTCAAGAGGGTTTAGCAAATTTCATGTATTCTAGCAGTAATATTTTAAAATGTTTACTCACTTTGTGGCATGATGTAGCCATTTTTACTACCCCCTAGCTTTTTTTTTTTTAACTTACAAAGGAAAAATCCCCATCAAATTCCCGTTTTTCAGTCAAATCCAGATTCCTCAAACTCTGAGTTCACAGTGAACTTTTCTTGCATTTGTTCACAATTTCTCTTCTTCCTTCAAATGTAACTAATTCGCTTGTAATTGGAAACAGCTATTCCATATTATTAAAGAAATGGTATTTTTAGGGTTTCAAAGCAGAACTCAATCTTTATTGTTCCAGCTACTCCTTTAGAGAGTAATTAAGAATTTCCTGTTTGGTGCTGGCAGGAGGGTGCGGCCTCCCTATACCACTGACGTCAATTCCTAAAAGTAGAGTTTAGCCTGTGTGGCACACCCACAGGATGTCTGAAGTTGTCCCTCCACCTTCATAAACATCATTTTTTGCTTTCGAAGCCCGCAGGTACAGTGCAGGTAAGGCATGTACTAACTACACCATGGACTTCTGTGACAAACAAAAACGTAAACATTCACGCATCTGCAAACACACTGAGCTTCTTAAAACATGTGGTTGACTGTGGATATTTAGGTTTGAGTAACACCCCAACTGTAGAACTGGGGACAACCTTGATTCTTTCTTCCATGTCAATGTTAGAAAAGGAATTAAGTATGTTCGTGAAAAAGGTAAGTGGCATTACAAATCTTGCCACCTCACAAAGTTGCATTTTTCAACCAATTAGCAGATCTGCATCAGTGCTTTTAATACATTGTTTAGCTTTTAACTGAAAATTAGCATATATCGTGCAGATATTAGCATTCCTTGTTGCAAAATCAGCTCTTCCATGTGACAGAAAAAAGCTTTCTGGAACTCCCATCTTCTCTCAGTTACCGTATTTCACATTTCTTTACTGATCAAATTACATTTTATAACACCAGGTTACATTAGTTACTTAAACCAAGTTCCTTTCGGGCCTAATTTTCAGAAACACTGGATACCTACTTCTCTCAGCAAAATAAAGGACATGTGCTAATGGCCCTTTGGTTAAAACCAAATAAAAAAGACTTATCAGGCGCAGCAAAAAAAAATCCCGTGCATGGTTTAACATTACTCTCCACAGCAGCAGGATGGGAATTACTGATGTGGGAGAAGTTTACTTCTGCTACTAATTCTTTTATTAGAGTTACAAGCTTGAAATTGGGAGCCAAATTCTTTCTTGGGTGTTCCTGCGACTGTCGAGTGATGTACTCTTGAAGTACACATTAAATCTAGCTAAAAGTATTGTAATGGCCGGAAAACTCAGATGGTGATGTTAGACACAGATGTCCATACTCTCAAAAAAGAAAGGCAGGCTTTTCGCTTCCCATGAAATGCTTTTCTAAAGCAATGCTCAGTTTTAATGCTGTTGCGTACTAGTCTTTTTGGAGAAGCTCTGGTTTAGGACAGCAACAAACTTAGTTTAAATCCCTGTGCATGGAGGCTACTCCTGTGGGCAGGGTAACCTCTGGAAAAAGGGAGAAAAAGGGATATTGACTGTACATCATTTGTGATGGTTTTCCATCTAAGACTGTGTAAATAAAGCACTGAGAATTCGTCTCTCTCTCATTTTCCCTTTAGAGGAAAGGAGGCTGGCAAGACTACAGAATGTTATCAATGATCAGATAGGGTGTGGCAGTTTTAAAAAAAAATGGTTAAGGCGGTGTCAAAAATCAGAGGTAAATACTAAGTAAGTGCTAATAATAAAGGCACAGCCCTAATTCTTTCATTCCCTCTTACACAACCAGATACAAATTCAGGTAAGTCTAACCATTTAAGCATCATTCTTTAATAGGTAAGAGCATCTTCCAAAAATCATGTTACAATTTCAACAGCTTTTTCTCCTTCTTTACTAACAGACCACACTATGTTGACAGCATCAGTTAGACTTTGACACTTGCACTTCAGAAAATACATTAATGAGGCTTCTTGTATTTGGTCAGAGATTATTACCTCAAGTTTGATTTTAGAAATAACTGCACAGTTATGTCAATTATCAGATATGCTAGAAAGTCCAGCAACCCCTACGGAAATGCCACCAACATTATATATATATATATATAAAATGTGTAGAACAAAAAAATTGACACTAAAGCAAAATTAGTCCCTTAGAAGTGAGCCTGAAGATTTCCTACGCCCCTTTAATGTAGCTTATGTGTCTGAACAGTGCACTTTGGGCAGTTGGAACCTATGAAAAATGATAAAAAAGCATTGCCTAATTATAGCTCATCATGAGAAGCAGGCTGATGAAGCTGTGAGACAACAGGAAATTTCATAAAGGTGTAGGTCTCTCATCTTGTAACTCATGTAATTTGTCTATGTATTTTTTTTAAAGGACAAAAAGATAAAAATTACCATTTACAAACTTCTTGTTGAGGATACAGTGGAATGTGGACTTGAAAGGGCTGGCTTTAGGAACGAGCGAGAACCACAGCTCTACAGCACAGCCAGGAAGCAATTTAAGCCATTACAATGTATGGAGAGGGTCCCCATAAACATAATGCTCCGCACATGCAAGCAGAGGAGATGCTTTGGAAACATGGACTATTCAGATGGTTTTTGTAACAACACTACTGACACGTTATACCAAATTTTATATTCTTTGCTCAGCGGATGGATTTCCTGTGGAAACTGGACTAGTTGAGAAATAATTAATGCGTATCACTAATGCAGGTGACAAGTCTGCAGAAGTCTCAGCCCCGGAGAAAGGGTGTGGTATCAGCCAGGAACAGCACTTACTGGTTTGCTCTTGTTAAAGAGGCCTAACAAAGAACAAAAATAAACTGAACCCTTTGGTAGTTCTGACCTAGCAGAAGTGACCTCCAAGTACATACAGACCTGACTCCCTGGTGTGGTAGGCCCATTACGGAAGATAAGTAACCACCTACTAAACATGGATGTTTACTATTTTATTATGTTTATTATAATAAAACATGTGAGGTTATTTTTAAATAAATAGCATACGGTTTACAAAAGCTAGCTGGCAACTCGTTAATTGCAAAGAGCCTGCAGTCTAGAAGCTGCATCTAAGCTGGTTAGAGACTTGGAAATGAGGAGGGGCACCCACAAGACGGCTGCGCAGAATGCAGTTAGCCCTGGAGCCGCGGTGTGCCTTCTAACCTGGGAACGGTCACGAGCAGGAGGAAGAGGCTGCCTTCTGAAGGAAATGCAGAAAACCACCCGTCCCATGCTTTCTCTTGCTGAATCACCCTGCATTCGCCTGCTGGTTTTGGGAGTCTGGCTTGGAGCCCTCCTTTGCCACCCTAAGAGGAGAGGTCCCGTACAACCGCTCTGAGGGCGACGATGAGGAGGAAGAAAGGGCAAAAATGGATTCTGAGGTCACATACCGTGAGCCCAGCTCAGTTCCCAGTGTCAGCTCCTGCCAGAGCCATGCCAGCAGCCTGCGTGCCTGCCCAGAGCACTGCCCGCTGAAAGGATGAGCCAGGCTCCAGGACACTCCATGATTTTGCTAAGTTGACAGAATTTTCCCTAGGAAAACAGGAAATGGAAGGGGGCCCACGGCTTCTCAGGTACCTCCTGACCAATTTTTAGTATTTTCAATTTAAAAGCTGCTGCCTCAGACCTCACTACTTCCTTCTATCCCTTCTGCAAACAGAACCAAATTACATCTGTGATCCAGTTCATGCAGTGGCCCCAGTAACAGTTGTACCAACACAATAGTTGTTATTGGGGTGGAAACAAGTGGCTGGGAGGAGAGCGAGCTTCAGGAACTACTGGAGCTGCCAAAAACCCCACCCACAGAACAATGGCCTCAGGTAAACATGGAATTTCACTGGATGTACACAGAACTTGTAGGTCAGAGGGGATTCTTTCCACCAAGCAGACAAAATTTTTCAGAAGACAAAGAGGTCCTCCAAGAAAAGAAAGTCACAAGAATCGTTTTAAAGAAAGGTATTTTAGGTGACATAAATACAGAGATCGGTATGAAACGTCTTTACAGTATCTTTCCAGTTTGCTATTGGCTTTGCCTAAACAGGTACCATTGGCTTACTGGGAGTCCTACTTTCAGTAAATTGTAGGATTGGGACTAGCATTACTTCAAAAATGCATTATATAAATGGCAGATCTATGTGGTTGCGATGTGTAAATACGTATCAACTCCTATATGGCTAAAGAGGGGAAAAAAAAATGAAGTAACATTTTGTAGTGGCGGGGTAGGGGGGAAGGATGTTTTTTTCTATTTTATCACATGTTCTAAAGCACAGCAACACTCCCTCCCGCTCCTCAAAATTGGTAACTGCTGCAATGAACTTCTTTTCATTCTTCTGCTGATCTTGGGACTACTGTTAGCTACTTACTCTTGCAACATCACTTGCTGGGGAGACAATGAGGTCATCATTGGAGGCGACATTTGTTCAGGATAGAAGTCAGTCTTTGATGGTTCAGTTCCTGGCTCTACTTTGATTGTTTTCTTCAGTGTAGGCTTCTCATAAGACTCAATGACAGGCACTGTATAGGAGAGGGTAGGAGAGGGACATCAAAACCACAGAGTTATAGAAATAAAACTGTGGATGTAAAAATTTATAGTTAAAACAAAAGAAAGCCCCCAGCTCTATTTTTAGTGCAACAATTTATGCTAGAATACAAAATCTTCCCATTTTAGTCTATCTCCTGATGAACTATGATTCAAAACAGTTCTATTCATCTTCATCAGTCCAACATTTTTATCAGTCTGAATGTCAGCAGATAAACAGCTTTATGCAGGTACAAATCAGAATATGACCTTGGTAAGTTTGGTAAAATATTTACACAGTAAATTCTATGCTTGCGTATTTTAGAAGAACAGGAATTATGTTCCATTTCCCAAAATATGAAAAACACACAAAAAAGTGCTTGGGTATACAGTTATTTTCCTGGGATGAGATGCCATAAAAAAGAAACTCTGACACCACCAACCTTGCATGCTGCTTGGAGTTTCCATCTCATCTGCAAGAACTGTGGACACCATGATGGGCTGCTGAAGATGGGGAGCATACATAAAAGGAACCGGCTGGACCACAACAGGCTGTATAACCGGGAGTATTCCAGGGCTTCTCAGTCCATGGCGTGAAAGAGCAGCGGCCATTACAGGTGGGATTGTTATTGGCATGGAAATAGGCTGTACTCCTGGGGGTGATGGTGTAAATTTACTGAGAGGTGAGCTGGGTGAGGACAGAGTCAATCCAGGTGAAGTTCTCCTATGCACAGTCTGAAATTTGAGGGGGGAAGGAGAACTTCCAGTTGAAGGTGGCGAGCTCCGTTTGTTCACCGTAAGGTCTACTGGCTCCATCTGGATTCCATTTGATAGTCCTTCGGGGTTTGAGTAGAATTTATTGTGCAACATACTTGGTGTCGAATAAATGACGCTGTATTTGTTTGGCTTCATTTGGTCCATGTAATTGGACGGGTATGACTGTCAGAAGGAGTGGAAAAAAAAAATAAAGAAAATCAGATAATAAATTAACACACACGGAATGCTGCTTGAAAAGAAAGGCGGCTAATACAACTGAGGCAAAATGAAAAAGTTTCAAGAAAGCACTTTAATGTACTTTCTAAATAAAAGTGAATTAAATAAAGCCTAAGACTTCACACAAAGGAAGTTATTCAAGTTCATTCACAAACTGTTTCAGAAGCAATGTAAAACAGATGATGAAAACACATCCTCAAGACTTAATCAACTCTCTTTCTCCCTTAAAAACTGCTTTTTGTATACTAAGCTGCACATTACTTAACTGACCTGGGAGATACATGGTGCTATGCCCAGCATAAAACTGTAAAATGAGGATCATGAAGCCAAGCAAGAGGGGAGTTGAAACTGGGCTTAGAATTGCAAGTAATGGGCCCAAATCAGCTGCTTAAGTAACTGGAAAACAATCATCACTAAAGAAATAAAATATGTATCTGAACCCTACAAGCAATAAAAAATACACCGCTGAACTGTCTAAGCAATGGGTGAGAAACTCAAGAGTGCAAAAAGTAAATTCAAAACCTTTTTTTTTTTTTTGTGTTAGAAATAAAGCAGTTGACTAGCCAGTCTGATTTTGGAAAACTAGT